AACACACTCGTGAAATGGCTCTGAAGTTGAATGTCTCTCATGAAACAATACATAAACATCTAATGAATATGGGAAAACTCCATAAAGAAGGTGTTTGGGTGCCTCATAAACGTTGCTTCGTCTCTTCTGGCACATAATGCATGTGAACCATTTTTGGACAGAATTGTCACCGGTGAAGCAAAATGGATTCTCTATGCAAATATTAAATGCCAAAAACAATGGCTTAGTCATAGACAAAAATCACTTCCAACTCCAAAACCTGGACTCCATCCCCAGAAAGTGATGCTTTGCATTTGGTGAGACATCAAAGGAGTAGTTCATTTTGAACTCCTCAATCCACAGCAAACTGTCAATGTAGAGATCTATAGTCAGAAACTTGAACATTTATATCAAGCCCTTCATAAGAAACACCCTTCACTCGTCAATCAGAAAGGTGTTCTTCTTCTCCATGACAATGCACATCCACATGTGGCACGTTTGACGCAACACAAAATTATGGTGTTGGGTTAGGAAGTTCTCCCCTACCCACCATAGTCTCCAGATATGGCACCATCAGATTACTATCTTCTTCGTTCACTGCAACACCATCTTAATGGAAAAATGTATGCAAATGTGGAAGGTGTTAAAGAGAACATCGACATGTTTTTGTTTCAAAGCCAAGTGGTTTCTTTAATCAGTGCATTAACAACCTGATTGTAAGATGGAAAAGCATCATCAATAAGAATGGAGATTATTTCATTTAATAAATGTTTTGTTTTGATATACAAGTTGTTCAGGTTTTTTCATTTAAAAAAAAGGGACATTAATTTCTTGACGACCTGATATGTATGGCTATCATAAATCTCTGTCTAACAACAAAGATATGGAATTTTGTCTTCACATTTAAGTTTTAAACAAGCTTCATAAGCCTTAATCCTAAACTCCAAACTGTTTATTTTTTGGCTTACTGATTTTTATTTGAAATTACTATTTGAAGAATTAATATTCTCTAGTTTTAACAATTTTTTTTACAACTTCTTTCTATACAAGTTTATATTTAAAATGATCATGATTACATGTTCTACAAATGCCAAACACTAAGAAAAAAATGTGTTATTAATATGACAAACAAAATTTAAAAAGATGAACTTTTGTATTGAACCAAAAAAGTAATAACAAAACTGAAAAGTATATGTTTGATATAGTTGAATATATACATAGCAATTCGTAATGTTGACTTGACTTGAAAGGAAACATAAACATGACCAGTTTTCATGAGAAGTAAAAGATACAGTGGAAAAATGTGTGCATTTAGGTACCAAAAGTTTAATATTGCAGCATAAGCTACATCATTCATGAGAATACAAATCAGGATACAGTTTCAATATATCATTCGAAAACTTATGGATCCTATAAATGCTGTCATATTAGGTTTCATTAGTCATGTCTAAAGTTAAAATTTTCCTACACTGAAAATGTATTTACGATAGATTCATACCTCCACTAACGAAATATCTTTTCCCAACTTATACTGCCCTCTATATGTGCAAATTTTCACTCACCACTAGCTTTGATACTCCCACCTACCCTCGCATGTTTTCATGTGAGGCAGCTGTGTGATAAGATGCAAATGAGCATACAACAACCCTTCACTAATAGGAGCATGACACAACTCCCAGAACAGCTGACTTTTTTCATGCAGCTTAGCCCAAAATCACTTCAAGATTGAGTAACAGAAAAGGAAAGACACCAAAAGTGGGGAGGAAGGGTGGGAGGTATGTATCTATTAGAAATACATTTTCAATGTAGGAAAATGTTAACTTCTGATATGACATCTTACCCCCACTCACAGAATAGTTAGAATCCCACATTAACCTGGTGGACGGACCAGTGTAACATTAACAAGATGATCCCCCTTCAGAAAGGGCCCAAAGGAAACCCATCGGGTGTGTGAAGAAAGAGTATGTAAGACACACCCTTGGGAGGCTGCACCACTCTGAGCTAGATATACTCTTTGAAAATTGTATGTCAGAATAAGGGCAGAAACAGAGGAGGGACCCCATAAAGTAAATGGACCCCTGGTGTAGAGTGGCTAGAGTATGGCAGACTATAAGGAAGAATTCAACCTCAATAAACACCAATACAATTGTGATAAGAATATTCGGCCCATGGTAGGAAGAGGGTCCTCTACTGTTCACCTCAGACCTGGGAACTGGAAGTGAAGAAGATTGTCTGTTTCAAGGGCCCACATCATCATGTGCACATGTTCAAAATCAGTACCCCTCTTGGAACTGACATCCAGACAACAGCAGGAAGGCATACAGCAATGTGGCAGTTCAACTCCAGTCCAGAACCATGTGGCATTGGGAATGAATTGTCCAATTCACAGTAGGAGGAGGGTAACTGGGCCACTCACAAGTGAGGACTTATGTGGCTGGTCCAGCTCCTACCAACACCAGTACCTCCAAGGAACTGATATCCAGGCAATGCTAGGAATGAGGGTGCCCAGCTGGTGGGGTGAACTGCATTGTGGTGGAAATCATCCACCACATAACCAGACAGCATTTGGAATAGTACATCAAGTCCATGGTAGGGCATGATAAATGATCTATGGCCAGATTCAGGATACCTGGTATATGACATGCCAACAATCGATTATGATGGCTGTGGGACGAAAACAGGAGGTCCAGCATGCTGAAACAAAGAGACCTCAACCAAGTGATGTACAAGACAGTTCTTGAGTTGTTGGAATGAATCATAACCGACCAGTTCTGAAGAGATGGAGAAAGTGAACCAAAAGCAGATGGACAGTGAGCAGTTCCAAGAGATTGATATGCAGAGATGACTCCATGATAGCTAAATGGCCGAAAATCCCCTACATGTCCAGATATGCACCTCAACCCAAAAAAAGAAGCATTCATGAAGAGGTGCACCTTCAGATAAGAAGGTGGAAGAGGAACACCTACTGTGGTATCGTCTCTGTTCCACTACCAGGCAAAGTCCACGTGAAGTAAAATTTTGAGGGAGATTCAGTTTGTTTCTTTGTAATTCAATATACACACACACAATACAAGAAATACAAATAATATATAAAATTGAAGAAAGATCCACATGATTTCTCATGTGTGGATCCTGAATAAATGTATTATTAAACAATAAATAATTCATAAATATTTGCTTAACAAAATTATATACATTTTGACCTATTTTTATTTTCTATATTATGCATAAATTTTAAATAAGACTTTCTGGTTTTTCTATATTGGCTATCCCTTTCTTTAATGATAACTTACTATTTTTATTTTATATACTAAACAGTGCTCTCATTTCATTTGGAATATATTTAGTGTTTTTTACATATATATAATTTGTGCAGTGGTAGTATATTTAAATGGGATAGGGGTGTCCAAGGGATTCTACTTATCTTGTAAAGTCCACTGAAGAGGTCACATGGGGCTTGGCCAAAGGGAATGAGGACCTCCAAAGAGGCCCACATTCCGAGAAGAGATAGAGCCTCTTATGCAGTTGGAGAAGGAGAAGAGGAAATGGTAAAAACCAGAAGCTCCATAGATAGCAGGTGAAGGGGAGAAGGGTGGGCCTAGCTGAAATTAAAAAATGCTCCAGATGAACAAGGTATTGAGTGGGAGAGAGGAAGGACTATTCCACCTTGACCAGCCAACCTATCCATGCAGCCTCTCGAAGAAAAAACCCGAGAGTGTGAAGGGAAAAATTGGCAAGTGAAAGAACTAGAAGTAGCCAGTCATCCATGTAATGATGGAAACGAAGGCTGTTGGAATGCCTTCACCACCCAACAGAAAACATAGGAAGCCACAGCCAGCCTGAACGGAAAAGCCAGAAACTGATAGAAGCAACTCCGTTGGACAAGACAAATAAAATTCCAGGATGCTGGAAAGATGGAAATGGGGAGGTAAGCATCTTAGATATCTACTTTTGTCATCTAAAGACCAGGAGTAAAAGCCCATTGAAGACATAGGCAGGACTCCATGGTGAATCGAGGAAGCAGTTGAAGGAAGAGAGATCGATGACAGGGTGCTAGTCCCCAGTATACTTGGGGACTATGAACAAATGGGAATTGAAACTTGTGAATTGAGAAGAATCTACCCATTCTACAACATCCTTGTGAAGGAGATCTAGAACTGCCTCGGAAAGACCCTGACTGAAAATGGGATCCCAAGGGGGGGGGGGTATATGGGATGAGGGGAAATAAAATGAAGAATGGGCCTTTTAGAATGATCCGGTAGAGCCCAAGGGTCTGTGGTGAAAGACTACCAATGGTGGTAAAGCACAAAAGCCTGACCCTTACCAGACCTGTATCCACCAAGTAGTCACCAGGACCACTTGAAGCTGTCGAAGAAAGAACTGACAATTAACCTCGGAACTGGTAAAGGAGAGGAAGGAGGGGGATGAGACATGGGAACAGGTTCAGTAGATGAATGAGACAAACAGGAAGTTAATGAGGAAAAGGTACAAACATGCAGACTCAACTCTGATCTCAAACAAAACAGGAAGACTCCCAAAGACATCTTGTCTTAAAAAGGAAGCCATACGCAAGTCCCATAAGGAGGTAGGGGTAAACATGCATGATACAAAGGGCATCCCGACCCAAGAGATCACAACAAAACAAGAGCCATGTTTGGAGGTAAAGGGTGGAAGATGCCAATCGTGCATGCATTGAAAAAAGTAGGGCACAAGACCCCAATGAAAATCCCTCATGGGAATATTGAAAAGTCCAAACAGAAGGTGAATCAAGAAAAGGGAATGAAGGAAGGAGGATAAAGTGAGGCAGATACTAGAAAATACTATTGAAGTATTGGGATCTGCGACCCCATAGTGGCAGAAGAGAATCCAACTGCTGGGAGTCCAAAAAAGGAAATGCAGATCTATGGTAAGCCATAGAATGAGCTTCCATATTTTGAAGGTGTGCAGGCATACTAACAGCTGAGTGTAATTGGTCTACAAATCTATTGGCATGAACCCCAATATCCCGAAAAGGGGGGAGAATAAGATATTAGCCTGAATCTGTCTTACTTAAAAGGGAAGGGGAGGAGTCAAAGGAAACAGGGACAAAACAAGGCTGTAACATCTTCTGCAAACAATTCTGGACCCGAAGGCACTGTAGCTGAAGGAAGTTTAACTGTAGTAGGTAAAGCAGCAGTAGAAGTTGTAAAGTGAAACTCAGAATTCATGGCAACTATGAATGGAAGTAGAAAAGTCCAACAGAAAGCTCCAAAGAATCACATATCAAAATAACTGACACACACAATGGTAACTAAAGTTGTAGAACACAAATGTAACAAATATAAAGAAAAACTAAGTTCCCCCAAAAAACAAAGAACTGATTGAAAATCCATAAAGAAAAGCACATCTGACCACCACAAGTGACAATCGAGAAGCAATTTTTGACTAAACTGCATAGAGAGAGTCAGCTGTGCTGGGAGTTGTGTCAGGCTTCTAGTGGTGGAGGGTTGTCGCATCCTATAATGCAGTTGCCTCATGTACAAATACATGAGGGTAGGTGGGAGTATCAAGGCTAGTGTTGAGTGAAAATTTATGCATGTAGAGGGCAGTACAAGTTGGGAAAATCTATACTGTGAGGGGGAGGTAAGATATTGTATTGGAAACTCATGCCACTGAGAGAAATATTATCATCTAGTATAGGCACCACCAGCACTACCCTCAAAAACTCCTTTGTAAACTTTAAAACTTCAAGTTATAACATGATAATGTGTTTGACTAAACAAGAAAGCATTATTCAACACCTGCCTTATGCAAGGCCTGTAAAAAGAAATATGCAAATAGGAGATGTGATGCTGTAAGTCCTGCACTATAGGTCAACAGCTGTATTACCTCAAATCTAACATATTTCAAGAAAGCCCAAATTGAAACATTTAGAATAATAGTAAAAGTATTAGCAATATCATCAATCTACATTTGTGTTTGTTTTAGAATAGAAATCTCTGTAAAATCATGAACAGGTTATAAAATACATATTTTGTATCAGTATGGTGACATACTTTTAACTTTTTATCAATTTTTAAAGCAACTTGTCTTGTACATTAACGTTTTGTCAGCCAATCTATTCTAACTGCAGTGATCCTTAAATAAATTATTATCTCAGCTAACCTGAAAGACAATTTTCTTCTACTCATCTCTAACTTACTGCAGATTTTGAAAACTGACAATTTTATACTAGTAACACGTGGTGATTTGAAAAAAACTGTTTATTTTTGTATATTTACTCAGAAAAGTTTTAATAATAATAAAAAACAACAATTATTTAACAGATTCGTTAAATCCAGACTTTCTAAATTTAGTAAAACCTGCAAGAAACATGGTTTAATGTAACTCAAAAACATTTGTAAACAATATCACATGCAATTTGATAGCTTATATCCACACTAAGATTATGAAAACTTATCCAAATATTTACTGTGGATATGATAAATTATGGAAATATTTGTCTTCAAATGTCACAAAGCACTGAAATTTATTGAATGATTATCTCACTGTGTATGTGTCATTACTTATTTCAAAGTAAATTTGGACAAGCAATTTAATAAGCCTCATTACAATAACGTATACCTCTGCTATGAAGTTCCTTCCAACAAACTTAACCATTTAAAAAAGTGTTTTTAGGTCATCAAAGTATAGAAACCCCAAAGAAATTGTTCAAGCACTATATTACACTCTCAATCTATTGAACTGACAACCTCAACAACTGAAAAATATTTTTTTATTAAATGCTAAACTTACCCAAGGTTAAGAATTTTTAATTTTGGTAGGGATGAAATTGAAGTTGGCAGTTCCTGAAAAATATAAAATAAAAACAAAATATTTCCCAATATTTATATAATGTACAATAAACAAAATAATGTTAAATACTTAAATTTTTTATATCTTATTGTAAAAGATAATCACCTGTGTATTTTTAATTTCTAACATATTACAGTTTCAGAATCCTGATAATCTAAGAACTTGGAAGTTTATGACAGCTCATTCTCACAACAGAGAAGCGTAAAGATCGATTTTGAAAAGAAATATTGCAAGTTTGATGGCGATTTCTGATGCAGAGAAAAATATAAAGCACAGATAAAATAAATTACTATAGAAGAGCAAGAATTGGATTATTTAAACAGCAGAAAAAATCTCAATAGAAACCAGGTAACTAAGATAAAAATAAATCTTAGTAAAGAATTGATTTGATACGTGAAAATTTTGAGTTCACAATGAAACAATATTTAACATAATGTGATGATAAAAAAAAAAAAGCTAGCATTTAAAGTTTATTATGGTAAATCAAACTTATAGCTTCTGAAAACTGTAAAAAACTGAGTATCTAGACTAATCTCTGTGTAACTTATAAATATTTTCCAGGTTTGTATGCAGAATTTCTTGATTTATTATCATTTTATAGAAATGTAATGAATATTACGAACATTTTACTATAACACATGGTGGCTCACTCTCAAAAGCGAAATTAATAGTTTTTGTGTATTTTATTACTTAAGGATTAACCATTAAGGTTCCAGGGTAAGTGTGCCACACCTAGAACAACCCAAAATTAAATTAAATTTTAAATCCTTAGTTAATAAAGAAACACAAATCCACAAAAGTGATAAACTAAAACATTACATAATAATACGATTAATGTTAAGTATATGTCATATTAAGAATGAAAGAGAATCTTGACAACTCTTACTTGAGTTTTGAAAACAGTATTAATTTACATGGCCTACTCCGTATAATAATGTTTACCTGAAGCTCACTTACTAAGCTCTGTATCAGTCTGATATGCATCTCATATTTGTAGACATAAAATGAACAAGTGTAGCAAATTGCTACTTTAACAACCTTAATTTATATAAATTTTCACCTGAAAAACCATAACATCTATCAATTCTTTTTGCTTAGTTGTTATTTACATTCTTCATTCAATTTGCTACTGAATCTTCTACACATTGTAATCAATCCTGTAACATGGCTAGAGAATGGAGTTAAAACAGTTAGTCTCTGACTCTGGTAAAGGTTAGCAACATCTCTGTTCAGTAATCTCAACTTGCATGTAGTTTTTAGCTTTCAGCAATTACTTACAATGTTTATCATATATTCACTACATTTTGAACTAGGTACTAAACTTAATTTAAAATAACACACACACATATATATATATATATATATATATATACACATACATATATATATATATATATATATATAATAAAACTATAAACCATATTTCTCTTATTTCACATAACCTTGAAATACGACAAACCATCATTAAAATATTGTGTTAGCTCACAATAATAATAATGAAAAAAGTCATATTATTTAAATATTATTTAGACATTAAATATAGAAAAATGTTACAATGATGAGGAAACATTATCCTCGTTAAAACAAAAAATATTGTTCTTGATGTTTCTTTTGATGATATTTGGATAAGAAGATTGAAGCAAATGGCTTTTCTCCTGTTAACCCAGTTTTCCTGGACACTTGGTTACATGAACCAAAATGAATGCGGGAATTTGATGCATTACTTTAGCCAAATTCTTAATAATTCAGAAAGAGAAAATATATTCTTTTACACTTTTACTAGTATTTGATTATGTTTAGAAGCCTTCCCCTGTTTGCTTTACACCAACATGAACTTAAGGTAAGATTTGTATGTTCAGGTGTTTACAGTAAACACTGCAGAAGGAAACAGAACTACAGATTTTCAACTATAAATATTAAATTAACCTTAACATTAGTACTATAATCAAATATGTTTCTACAGATGTTTTAAGTATATTCATACTCACATCTACCTCTCAAAACAAGCAAGCAATCCTTTAATTAATTTTAAAGAGGTCGTTAGTTCTATTTCTTCCTCCTTCAGTGTAATAAAATAATTTTGGTGATGAGACATTTTCTTCTCTGAATGTAGACATTTTAAATTATGTCCTCAAGGGAATTATTCTATGGTTAAATAAGCCTTATTTCTTGATCACAAAAACTTTTATAATGAAGTAATGTCTTTTTATTTTGAAAAGCATAACAAGCTTTATCTTTCTGTAAGTTTTTGAACCACTAATGTAGATCTCCATCCACTTCTTGTCATGAAGAACTAGGCAAGCATGTAAACAACTTTCTTGTCATGAAGAACTAGGCAAGCATGTAAACAACTTTCTTGTCACGAAGAACTAGGCAAGCATGTAAACAACTTTATTGTCACGAAGAACTGGGCAAGCATGTAAACACATATCTTGTCATGAAGAACTAGACCAGCATGTAAACAACTTTCTTGTCATGAAGAACTAGGCAAGCATGTAAATCACTTTCTTGTCATGAAGAACTAGGCAAGCATGTAAACAAAATATAAAGATTGCCATCTCCAACAACTAATGATGATATAGATTGTAATGTGATTCAATAATTAAAAACAATTTCCAAAAGTTAATACAGACAAAAAAAGCCTGACAAACTTTCTAAGATGTCTTTTTTGTGTATGTGTTAATGAATGCATTTTTTCTAATTTTGATTATACTGCATGTGTTTTAGTACTTGCCATCTTAATATAGTGATAAATCAATACTTATTTTGTATTACCACCGTATTGTGCAAAATCAGATAAGAATTAGCTACAGAACTCTAGGGTTGACCAGAACAATACCATGTAAGTGAAAATTCAGGTAATGAAATCTATGGTTGGTCAGAACAAAACCATGCGAGTGAGAATTTGGTTACAAAACTTTACAGTTGCCTATAACGATACCACAAATGTGGAAATCCACCTACAGACCTTTAGAACTAACCAGAACAATACCACATGTAAGTGAAAATTCAGTTACAGAACTCCAAGGTTTACCAGAATGATATCAAGTAAGTGAGAATTCAACTACAGTACTCTAGGGTTGACAAGAACAATAACACATATGTGAGAATTTACCGACAGAACTCTAGGGTTAACCAGAACAATACCACATATCTAAGAATTCACCGACAGAACTCTAGGGTTGACCAGAACAATACCACATATGTAAGAATTCACCGACAGTACTCTAGGGTTGACAAGAACAATAACACATATGTGAGAATTCACTGACAGAACTCTAGGGTTGACCAGAACAATACCACATAAGTGAGAATTCAGCTACAGAACTCCAGGGTTAACCAGAATGATACCATGTCAGTGAGAATTCACCTATAGAACTCTAAGGTTGCCCACAATGGTACCATCAAAGTAAGATTAATGTTAGAGCAATATTATTTGTGACTTCATTCTTATTCTATGTGAAATATCTTGCTTAGCTTTGAGAACACAATTTCAAAACTCCATTTAATACACTAACCTCAATATGGTTGTTGAAGAGTGTGAGAACTTCTAGGTTGACAAGGTTAGCTATGCTTGGAGGAACACCTGAAATACATAATAAACATATCTGTAAGAAAATTAACCATAAAAAAGTCCAATTTCTGTAAGTATGCCTGTAGGTGTGTTACACATAAGTAAGTATTACAAGAGGAAACATAACAAACATTTATAATGTAACAAAACTAATTACAGGACCTGAAAATGTATCTCTGATACATACCTCTTCACACAGAATAGCTTCATTCCTTGTGCATCTGTCTAGGAGATTTGCATGTCACTAGCCTTGAGCTAACTCTCACCTAAAAATCATGTTTAACATGAACTGCATTAGTGCATGATTACATCATCATGCAATGATAGCCCTTCACCAGTAGGAAAGTGAAACAACCACTTTGCGCATTAATTCCACTTAAGCACTTGTGCTCAAAATAACTCCATTCTTAGATGTGGCAAGAAAATGCACCAAATGGGAAGGTGTGAAGAAGTGAGTATCTATCAGAAATACATTTAGCAAGCCTACAAACAGTAACAGAATGATGAGGTTGAGGAAAATGAGAAACTATAGTAGACAATGAAGACCCCCCCCAAAATGCAACAGTCTGGGTCTTCACTGAGTCAGGAACACCACAGAAAACCTCTGGACAAAGATCACAGATAGGTAGGTGAGGGAGACATACATTAATCAGGAGAGCATCCCATTCCAACAGCAGAGGAACCAAGTAAGGAGAGATACAACAGAAGTAATAGTGCAGGTCAATGTAGTGAAAAAAAAGAGAACAAACCTCTCCAGAAAAATTCCCCCTGAAGCACCATGAAGTGCCTCAGACATAAGGAGAAATGGTGAGAGAAAATGCAGGAGGGCAGTAAAACAGAAGAGATGAAAGCACAAAAACTGAACACAAGAAAAAAATATAAAGGGGTCCACCCCTAAAGAAGGTAAAAAAAGTTTCCAAAGACTAGAAGAAACAGAAATAAAGAATGAATGTAAACCTGGAAAAAAATTGACAAGGAGACTAGGAGGACAAGGCATATTAGTACGGGTGACCAGTGGAATGAGAAACAAACCAGCATGAACCCTAATGTCATGTGAAAAAAAAGAAAACAAAGTAATTTGAAGTATGAGTTCACATAGGAAAACACAGGAGGAAGTAGAAAACAAAAGGAAAGAAGAAATAAAAAAAAATCCTGTCAAGTAAGAGGCTTGAAGAGTGAGTAATTTCCACCACAGATAAGGTTGTGCCTAGAGAAAACTGTGTTCGGGAAAATAGCCAGTCCAATCATTACCATCCTGAATATGTTCAATCTGGGAAGGAGGAACGTCAGCCAAATGGATGGTAAGAGAAGGCCTAGTGTGTATGAAGAAACCTACATGTGACACAATGGCTGACATGTCTACCACAGACAACAACCCACCAGTAGCAACTATAGACACAGGTCCTATCCAAGGAACAATGTCACTAACACAGGAGAAAGTGGAAATTACTGTCATTTGAGAATATATAATGGGTAAGCATGGGGAAAAAATAGTTATTCTATTTACATATTCCTGTAGTAATAAAAAAAAAAACAGTAAAATTTGAACATATTTTAAGTTTTGTAAACTACTGCAAATCTCATACAATTAATTAATAAGTTCAAAGACATGTCTCTTCTATACAATGCTCAGGAAAAGAATGACGTTATTTTGAGTGCAAGTGCTTAAAGGGAGTTACTGTGTAAGGAGGTTGAGTCGCTCTCCCACTGGTGGAGGGCTATCTTCACATAATGATGTTACCATATACTAGTGTAGTTCATGTTAAACACATGATTTATAGGTGGGAGTTAGCTCAAGGATAGTGGCTTGCAAATCTCACAGCCAGATGCACAAGGAATGAAGCTATTCTGTGTGAGAGGTGAGGTAACGTCTCATCTCGGAAGTATCTATGTCATAGATTATTTTATAATTAATATTTTAAAATGTTTCTCATACAATATTTATTACTTCTTAACTTTGATAGTTTCAACTCTATACTCTTAAAGTACTGATTTTGATACATTAAGTTTTGTAAAACTTGCATTAAAATCACATGAAATTTCTTGCCAACACCACATAAAGTAACTTTAAAAACTACATATTGTACAAACTTAGAAAAATCCTTACGTTTATATTTAGTATGTTCCGAGTTCTTATGTAAACAAACATTTTAAAACTAATAAGATGCACAACATGTTAAAACATAATAATTTACATACACTTAAATCCATTCAGCTTAAATAGGTATTCAATATTTTCACCTGAATAACACTTTTTTCTGAGAAGCAAGCTAAATGGTCAAGTCAGACATCCCCCTAAGGTTCAGACATAGCCAATCTCTAATTTAGAACTACTGACCAGAGAATGGGTGCTGCTTACTGGTTACCCTTTACCGATTATTTTATTGTTTTTAACTGAATAATGGGTTAAAGTTAGGTTATAATCACAGCAAAATGTGCAGAGTGTGTTCAGTGGAATATTGAGGCTTTAACCATTGATGTTCTGATCCACAGTCACACTCAGTCGCAAGTTAAACAGAGATATAAAAACGTAGAGATGCATCTATGCATAAAAACTGTTGTATTACTTCCACTGCATTTACATATTATGTACTATGAAAAAACTTTTAAATATATAATAATATGATTTATTTGGAAACACATACATGAAATATTTACAAATGAAGGATTGATCAGAAGAAAAATATAGTAAAATATAAATTATTTCAAATGCTGTGAAATTCTTCAAAACCCAAGTAATAACCACAATTTCAATAGTATTTGAGTTGCACATTTCTACATATTTAAACATAACACTGATACTAACAATTCTTAAACAAAAAATTCTGACAATGGCTCTGTTATGTTACACACAAGTCGTATACTTACTGCTTATTTTATTGTGACTCAATGTCAGTCTTGTTATGTTGTACATGGTCCCTATGGAAAGAAAACAGGTAGTTAAAACCTGAATTAACATATACACTGTGGATCATGTTAAGAACACTAAATTACTGTCCAACTTCAAATTAATTTCTGCAATAGCAATAAAGTGAAGCTTTATGAATACAAACTTTTAAATACAATCAGATTGAACAGGTAATTTTGCTACTTTATTTCTGCACTTAATTCCTTAGTTCAATATAAAATTACATGTATAATGCATTAAAAACTTTGTTCAAATTGTTATAAAATAGTACATATGTACATGTAGTTCACTTACAGTTACCAAAAATAGGTTATTACTTACAAAATAAGAGGGAATCCAGTCAGATCTTTCTCCAAGTAACTTAAAGTGTATATAACGTTTTTGAATTGAATACTAAACTTAAACAGTATCTGAAAATTAAAATTTTACACTTATTTAAACTAGCTAACAAATTAACTACTTACTTTGAACTCTTGGTTGACAAAGCTTTATAATTCACTAAATTCTAATTAACTAGAGAACACTAATTTTAAAATCATTTAAAAATCTATCCAACTAGTATCACTTTACTTGTTTGTGTACTTTTATTGCAGGATTTATTTTGTTTTGGATACTTCCTATAGCAATTCTATGAATAACCAATGATCCCTACTTTCCGTTAAAAAGTTTTAATTTTTTTCTTATTTATAATATTATGACACACTACTATATAGAAATATATGTACTGTATATGAAAGATTGGATAAATATAACAAAAATGCAATATAGATTGAATTTTATTTTTAAGCTCACTTGCAAATTTTGCAAATGCCTCTAAAAACACCTTGCTAAAATGTTAAGCCCACTTGCAAATCTTTTTACATGGCTCATTGAAATGCAAGAATCCATTTTCTTTGAGTCTGGAAGAGAACTCGATCCTTGACATCAGGATTAACAGAAAAAGTAAACATTTTTCTGCCTTTATTAATCTTAAAAAACTTTTACATTTATCACCAAACATCTTCAAGTGAAACCTTGTCACTTTTAAGCAGAATTTTTAATTTTTGCTCTACTCTACTTTATGTGAAATTACATTTTTGCATAAACAGCTGTTAAACAATGGTTTTCTGACTGACTTATTAATCAACAAATTCCAGCCACTTGCTACTTTACATACCATCCCAAAATTGACCCTCTTAATCTGCCTTCCTTTCATGAACACACAGACTTTACTATCAAAAACCAAATCTTCTCCTTGATCAAAAACTTCTACCCTCAAGTCTAGCTCAGACTAATAATATAGGCCTAGCCTCCACATTAAAAACTTCTTTCAGCATAACGACTGCCTACCAACACTACATTCATGGGTCATACATAAGATCACATACATTGGTGAAACAAAGTGCCACTTAAAAAATAGAGTCTGTGAATACTTGGACGCATTCAATAGGACCGGTCATCCCTTATTCAACTATTTGTTCAAATGCTGTAACTACAGGTTATAATATTTCGGGTACAATTTCTCCATCTTTACTAAAGGACCTTCAGCTTCACTCTAAAGAAAGTTTACTCACAGAAAAATACAGCCTGGCTCATAATGACTTACATCCTTATATATAAAATTATTCCAAATAGCTTCACTTTAAGACTCAACCATTTGTTAAAAATGGTTTATATTTATAACTTAGTGTCTTTATGCAACTTTAATTTTTTTGCTTTCATTACATATTCTATAATCTGGACTTCCTTTCATTTACCTTTTTACTGAATATTCTAAGAAAATTACTTATTGATGTTACTATAACATTAGTTAATAATTACAATGTTATTTACAGATTTTACTGAAGACTGAATAAGTATATTCTGAAACATATGATGCCTTCATAAATAAAAATGTTTCTCTTTTCGACTGTCTTTACATTTATTATTAGTTATTATTATTACCTAAGATTCTTATTTTGTCTGTGCGATAGACAGTAAGTCTTAGGGTTGACCACATGGTGAATCACCGTGATAGTATTCATGTTCATTCTAAAAAACTCATCGCATACTGGCAATCACTTGAAACTTGTCTCTTCATTCTGATGAGACACCTTTTCTGTAAACTTCCTTCATTTATCATAAATGAGTTTTTCCTTCTTTAATAACATTGTTTCATTGTTCTACTCAATCCAACACTATACATGTCTATTTTTTTTATTATTTTGTAGTCTAGTGCAAAGCAATCTTTAAGGTCAGCAAACCTATAAATATTGTTATGTATACTTGTAAAAAAAATATTATTTAGTATAAAATAGTAGGGTTCCACAATAAAAGTCACCAAACGTTTACATTTGATACTGTCTTGATAATTTTAAGAAATATGGCCACACCGTGTAAATTCAGCAACCTTATATTCCGAATACTGCTTAATTGTACTTCATATTGTCTATTACAAATTCACCTGCCTTTACCATTTAAATTAAGCAAGCCTGTACCTTCTTGTTGTTTTGTACAAAGCAACACAGTTTGGCTATTTCAATTCAACAAGCACATATATGTAATATTTTCTACATGCAGTATCTGCTGTCCAATACCAAGTAACCTGATTCCATACAGTATGCAGTCAGCAAGTCTATCCATGTATATACTGTTTCTATCATCAAAAAGACTTTTAATAAATTAATTACTTTTTAACAATATTTTATTTTTGTCTACTAACATTTGACAGTGTAGATGGTGCAGTCCATAAAAACACCAGAATGGAAATAAACAAATAGGTACTCTCTATAACAGATCTGTTTTATCATGCTATTTGGCTATTAATAAAGAATATGTTTATAATTGATGCAATTCATTATGTATTTCTATATCCTACCTAATTCTAAACTTTTTGTGCATTATTATGTCAGCATGCAGTGGATTAATATATTGAAACATGTTAAATACTAATCATGTTTATTCACCTATTAGTCTATTTAAACAAATGTGACCTACTTACATATATTGTTCTCTCTTAATATTAGTAGCAGTATTAATAGTTGATTTTATTTATTTGTTTATTTGAAGTTAAGCACAATGCTACGCAATGGGCTATCTGTGCCCACCACAGGTATCAAAACCTGGTTTCTAACGTGGTAAGTCTGCAGACATACTGCTGTACCACTTGGGGGCTATTTTATTAATAAGATTAAACTTAAAAATAGACTTCCATTTATATGTAAACATTTATTAAAATAACTAGCACAACTATATTCAATCTTCAAATTGATTTAAGTGTTTCTTTAAAGGGTTTCTTGTTCAGTTGTAATGATATGGTGTAGTTACATATGTAAAACAGATTACTGATCAAACTTCAAACAAATTATTCATTGACATTTGTGTAAAGTGTGAAATTATATGTGAAACCATGCATGTAAATTAACTAAGTAGGCTTAAACTTGTTATGGAATCAAATAAGTAAAAATGAAACTTGTGGACATGATTTGATGAATCAGTTTTCTAATAGGAATATATTAATATATTAACCTTGTAACTTGGAAATATTAAATAATCATTCTAATCAAATTATGTAAAAGGCCATTTATTAATTGTTATACTCATTTTATAGTAATTTAGTGGCAATTTTTATTACACCACCACAATAACAAACTCCTTGGATATGTGAAAATTAACTAAGGTGTGAAGAGGTCTCATTAAAACACAGGAATACACCAAAATGGAATTTAATAGTAGATAGACAGTATTAAAAAATGTATATAGCAATTTTGCTTATACAACTATATAAGTTATATTTTATGCTTTGAACATCATTATAACATTAATAATAATAATACTTATTAATACTATATAGTACAAGCAGTAGTGCAATATTAAGTCTGTACTCGTTGCCCTCAAACTCAAAGAAACTGGCTTTGTACCGTAGTTGTGCCTATTCAATGTAAATTGCAAGTTGCAGCCCCGCCAACGCGTATGCGTTTCTATGTTTACTCTCCAAATTTGGAAACTGGCCCATTTTCTACTGCGTGGTGATCACATCATAGCCTTAAGTTAGATTACTTACACAATCCAGGCATGTCCTCAAAAGAAGCGACGCCCTTGTCAACCAGGTCGATTTCAGGGATATTGTTTTCTTTCGCATCTTCTAACACTTTTTTCACCTTCGACATCTTATTGAAGTCGAAGATGTCAGTACAGGAAGTTTGATGAGGGTTGTTTCCTGGTTTTTCCATAGCATAAGAGAAAGTACTTCCGTCTGCTAAAGTAAACAAGCTACCACTAGATGGCCAGCACTGACTTCTGACTGCGTCCACAAAACTCTGTCGCGTGCTATCCTACGCACGGCCCGTATAAGGGTTTACCTTGTTACGACGAGCCATACGTCATCTCAGCAAGCTCACTTGCGGTTAACATAAGTTGGCCCAAACAAAAACGTTAAGCCATATATACATATGTGCAACCTCACCAGCACATTATGTTACCTACTAACTTTTTTACACAAAAGTTGAAACGAACAAAAGGATAAAAACAAAATATACAAATTATCTGATTCAGAAATATCTTCGCAACAGTAAATGCAAGAATATTAGCAGTAAAATGTTGTTAGTTTATAATAAATGTATTAAATAAAGGCTCAACACTGGTACAGCGGTAAGATTGAAGGTTTCGATACCCGTGGTGGGTGCAGCACAGACATCCCGTTATGTAGCATTGCGCTTAACTACAAACAAAGACTTAAATAAAGGCTTAGTTTGGTGTTGCTTTGATATAAACACTGCAGTAATTCAAGTTCCAAATTTCAAGTTTTTAGTTTTAAGAAAATGGATTTGCAAAAAGAAAATAATAAATAAAAAATCAGTTGTCAAATCTGACAATTGCAAGAATCCAGAGGAACAACTTAACCCCTCTTCTTTGCTGAGTTGAAATTGTGGTTACTTTTCTAAGGTAATAACTTGAATAATATGTTTATTACTTTCTTTAGTGTTCCCAGCTGGACCAGTGGTAAGTTTATCGGCTTACAATACTAAGATTCGGGGATCGATTCCCCATGGTGAACCCAACGTAGAGAGTGGGTTGTGTAGCTTTGCTCAAAATCACTAGTTTTTAGCTCAATGAAGAATGTAGCGCTATCTATTAGAGATTTCATTAACTACAAGGCAAGAAATATGGTCGTTTAATCAATACGGTGTTCACTTAGCGAAAAATAGAAAGGTGCACATCTGAGTTTATCAAACAATAAAAAACATTTAGAGTTAAATTGATCATTTTATATGCAGGAATTTTAAATTTGTAGGTTTATTATAAACAAACTGAGCATGTTATAACAAAAATGAGGTTGAAAGTTGTAACGGACTGCTCCTTTTTCGTTTCTTAAGTGAGATATCGTTACGGTCTTTATGCTGAGGTCCTCCTCAGGTAACTGAATGATAGAATAGTTTATATTTTTCTACATGTTAACTAATAAGGGTAGTGTGCGTTTGTCTTTACTAAAAACACTAAAGTTATGTTGTTGATATTGAAATACGACAATATTTGTATTTTAGGAAAGATATTGTTACGTATCTGCTCGTTTGATAATTTCCCGTAGAAATTCTTTCCGAAAAACTTCAGCGATACAAGTCCTTTCTTAAATAAAACGAGTTTATTCTTTCTCAATACAGTTTTGCAATACACAGAATTTTCACCGTCATTTTAGCTTAAACACACGCTATAATTCACAAAGATTCACACACTTTACTTACGACTTGACTCAATTATCTGTCTCTATATCCCTCTGTCTGCAATTATTCTCCCTCGTCACTTCTTGCCGGTCATATACATATATAAAATAGAGGGCGTCTGGCAAACACTCGAGCCTTCACGAATGTTCTAGATACCCATTACGTGTTACCAGCGCCACGTGAATTCCGCTGTCGTAACAATATAGTCGTGTGGTTGTAGTATTAGTAGAAAAATGTGTTATATTTTTTCGAAGTAATTTTAAAAAGCAGTATTTTTATTTTTGTTTGCTTGTTTGTTGTTAAGCACATGGCTACAAAATGGACTATCTGCCTTCTTCCCATTGCAGGTATCGAAACCCTATTTTTGCGTTATAAGCCCTCATACTTAACATTACGTTATCTGAGGGGAGCAGTTGTTTTATTGCTTATTTTTTTAACAAAGTGTTTGCTGTGATTGATAAGTCGGTCCACTTCTTTATATTTCCATCATGCAAACACAAACTACTTCAAAGAAAAGCCTTTATAAACGAAATTGGGTGGCTTTGGGAAGTTTGTATCATTATCATTGAGTGATCTCCAGAAACTTCTATGTTCAAAATAAGTAAGAAATTATAATTTAAGGTCGAGGCAGAGAAAGTTAAAGAAAGCAATAGCTACGTCATCATAGTCCTGTTTCCTAGCTTAACTCATCTCATCCCAGAAACTGAATTCATTTTGGAAACAAACATCTGTCATAGGAATTGGAGCAGCCCTTTCAAAGGATCAGAATGGAGAACAAAGTTTGTGCTGTGGCTGTGTTTATAATCCTTTCAAGCTTGTGTCAAAGTTCTGCATTATTAAGAAAGAGTTTTGGCAACCGTGAACTAAAAATAATACATAACAAAAATAATGAATAATATATTTAAAACATAACAACCTTAATTATAACCATTTTACCTGGCAACTAAAAAATACATTTACATATCTTAGAGTAATGGTCAACTAATTGTCAATGGTGGTGAGATAATTACAAAAAAAGTAGTTGGATTCATAGTGTTGCACTGAATTTTTATAAACCAAAAGATTAAAATAAGCCAAAGAAAAAAAAACCATACACAGAAATTTAAATCTATGGACCTATAAATGGTTTAAAAGCTTTACTAAACACTAAGCAGTCTTGTTCAATTTCATCAACAATAAATGGCAACATTTTCTTAGAATAAAACATATATAGTTTGGAAGCACAATAATTTACATTGTATTCATCATATTCAATATTCAAAAATTCATGATCATCCTCACTTAACCATATAAAAAGTTTTTAAGACCAGGGTAAAACATGGTTAACTACACTTGCATATAAAATTACATACTGCTTTTCACCTTCAAAACCAAGGGACCATCATCACTTTTACAAACATCATATTTTCCAGAATAAAAAATGTTCAATTTAAATTAGGCACTGAACTTTTAATTTCTAAAACTGTGTCCCTATCTAAGGTTCCACCAGGACTGGCAGACAACCAGTTTTACTCAGCAGAGACACAATTTACTTTCTCTAATAAATAGTAATCATTTCGTAATAAAAAGTTCTTCGCTGACACTTCAGCCTCATGTCCATGTTTGGTATATTTATTATCAGTAAATATTACATGTAAATGTTCCCTTATAAAATTTATGGAGTTTGTGGTTTTATTTACAGGTACGTTATGTGCACTGCTTGTTGTTATTCCTATTTTCCTCACATCTCTCCACAGAACACTTTTACTTTGGTCCACTGTTTAACTTTGTAGATGTTCAATTTGTTTTATGTTTAAGGCAACATTACTTATTATAAAAAGAAACACATTTTCTACAGGATGATAGCGAATCATGCACACCGTGATTAAGAACCTGGGTAATCTTTGTAGCAGGGCGACATGAAAAATGTTTGTTGATTGTTGTTCCTTTAATTTGAAAGAGCGGCAACAATGGAGAATTCTGAACAGCAGCTTTAAACTATATGCCAGATAGATAAATCGGTGTGTCCTTAACACTCAAAACATTATCATCATCGTCTGACATCACATCAGCACCAGATTTCTCTTTGTCCTTTGTTCCACTTTGCTGTCTCATCAGTGCAGCTAACTCCTGTAAAGTTGTTCCAGACAGCATGCTCGATTTTCCACAGGAGTGCAGTGTTCCAACATGACTGTAAGATAAACCTTGTACAGCCATATATCTACACCACCCCTTTCTACTGTCCCATTCATATCGCAAATCGCATATACCTCGTTTACTCGACTTACTCTCTGAGAATAACGTGCATCAGCCTTCACAATAATTCTGTTGTTTGTAATATCACTGTTCAATATGCAATCTACGTTGCCACTTAAAATAATAATTGTAACTTTGAAGACTTTTATAGCTTTTCATGTCTTCACCATCAACGGCTTTTGATGCAATTAAATAATTATACATTTAAATGTACACGATATTCGGCCATTTACTCATGTTATTACCTTTCGATATTCGGGAAGCATTGAACTTTTCACTTCAGATGACATCTTAGGTGATTTATTTCAATGTTTACGCACTGCTTATTCTCGCTTTGTTTACACTCAATTTCACCCTTGTAATGGCGGACGCTACTGCCAGCGGCCACTATTAGTAGAAAGAGCGATGAATTTAAAAAAAGTGTCCATAAGGGGCCCCAAAATATTTCAATGTATTTATTTACTTATTTTTCAATATATTATCCTTTTTATTTATTTGTTTGAAGTTAAGCACAAAGCTACACAATGGGCTATCTGTGCTATGCCCACCACGGGTATCGAAACCCGGTTTCTAGCGTTGTAAGTCCTTAGGCATACCGCTGTGCTACTGGGGGGGCTTATCCTTTTTATATGTATCCTATAAAACGGAACTAAGGGCTCACGTTTGGGTACTATGGCCATAAACATTCTCCGTTATGAGTTTTAATGATGACAACAAGGACTGGTAATGTAAAATTAATTTGATTTTTGAGTTTCTTTGTGATGTTTTTTATTTCTATGCATATATATATATATAACTCAAATTGTTTTCTGAATTTTAGGAACAGTTTAATCATTAAGCCAATCCCCTAACAAACAACAAACCCTCCAATATTGTGTACAAGACAAGGAAAAAGAAAAGGGACAAAAAGTAAAACTTAGGTTAATTAAAGTTAAGACTAAATCATAAATATGTCTTAAAATCGTTGGGAAAATATTGATAATCAAAGAGAAATCTGTTTTAGAGATCAAAATTTTACATTTAGTTATATATAGTATAAAATACATAAACATCTGTTTGCCCTAAAAATGAAAAAACTGTTAACAAAAAAAAGATTATATAAAAGCTTAACCAAAATACTAAGTATGTGAGTTATTCAAGATTATAAGAATAAAAAGAGAGTGTAAGAGAATTTGTTTTGTTTTGTCTGTAATTAAGCACAAAGCTACACAATGGGCTATATGTGCTCTGCCCACCACGGGTATCGAAACTCGGTTTCTAGCGTTGTAAGTCCACAGACATGCCGATGTGCCACTGGGGGAGGGGGCGTTATTAGAAGCAAGCGGGCACTTGTTCATCACAAGTTTAAAAGAAGCA